CAGCTTCAGTATTTTTTACCTAAAGAAACAATTTTTGAAGTCTAGTGTTTTTTCTTAAATTAAAAATGCTTTGATTAAACTTTTATAGCACTATCTTCAAATGATCTTTCTGTTTTCTTTGGAACATTGTATTAGTTTGTAAAAGTAGTATCTCTGTCATTTGTTTATAATGTTTTCGAACTTGATCCTCAATATTCTCCATGATAATTAAGCGGATGACAAATTGTGTCACAGAGTAAATGCATAAACACTTAAATGTTTTTATGTCTAATTTTCCTACACTTAAAGAAAATTGTTAGCTAATAACAATTGCAAAATCGAACGATTTATTTGTCTGAATCACGTCTAGCAATACAGATAGATACCTGTTACTATTAATACAAGGTATGAGGATAATAAAAAGGATATGAGCCTTTATGTCGCAATAACGGCAACAATAAGTGGTTGGTGAGTAACAAGCAACTGGCTCTTTTATTACTCTCCCATAATTTAATTATCTACCGATACAGCTGCCATAAACCCGATCGACATACTTAATGACATGTCTAAAATAATAATGAAACGACCACGGTTTCAGTGAAATAAAAACGTTTTTATTCGCAGCGTGCCCTGTTCTTCTAGTGCGTGTAATAACTAATGCATTATGATTGAACTGATGCCGATTTTACGTATATCATAAACCTATTTTCTAGAAGAATTAAGGCTCGCGCACACGTGTCAGAGCCGGACGGACGGCAACTTACGGTTAATATGCATCCGTTCCGCACCGTCCGTCCTATTCCGATATGATTACATGCAAGTACCTTTAAGAATTGTAAATGCCTGCGCCCGTTTGGTTTAAAAGAAAATTCAGACCCTTATCTACTAGTTGGTACCAGTCTTGTATCTATAGAATCTGTAGTCATCGACTCACACATATAATGCCGTGCTCCTGCCGTGTGCCAAGGCTATGAAGCAATTTTATATATCTTAATGCTAAAGTTTGCTAGACCTATTTGGAAAAAGAGAACTTTTGGGTGTTTCATTCCCACTAGTCACTAATGCTGGTGGACGGGCAGTCCCTCCGGACTACGGCGGAAGATAAGGCGGAAGGCCCTCTTCAACCTCCTTTCAGGAATCGTGAGAATGAGTGGGTGGTGGTTCGGATAAGAAAGATGAGACGGACGAAATGATGACAGAGGAGAATGAAAGATTATCTGTGGAATATTGCTGCCCTGGCATTTGCCTAAGTGATTCAAGGAAACTACAGAAAAATTTGGACCAAAGCAGATGGATCCGGAATCGAACCGACGTCCTCCCAACTGCTAAGCAATGGTCTAAACCTCTAGGCTATGCTACTCGGTCTTATTTGGGAGACTACCCTATACTAGCAGACATTGCAAATGACCAAATAGAACTTGGTATTTCTCCAATACATATACGATTCATACATTAAACAGTTGTACGTACTGATTGATTGTAATTTGTTTATCGCTTCAAATTGTAATAAAAATTTTGTGGAGCTACCCCTTTTGATAATAGGACTTTCTAGAAGTAGCTGACCATAAAAACATACAATGAAAATATTAAACTACATACCAATTCGAATATCCAGGATATGTTGTCTTATAATAGGAATTTTAAATATAAAATCGCGACTATTTTGAGGTGTTCCAGTTGGAATTAAACAACTGTTGAATGACTAAACGCTTCTACCTTCTTTATTTTTTCACTTTCTGAAATTTTCTAGTACCTACTTCCTGTCGGCAGAGAATAAATCTCAAATTTGGGCGTATATTTGTAGCAGGCATTTGATTGATTCATTTTTACATTCTCGTCCTAATTCCCATTCTCGCAATTTCGCATTCTGCTTTACAAAACCTTAATGAAAGCAATTTTTGTTTGCTAACACAAACTTAGATTTCTTAATTCTGCTAATGCCATGTATTTATCAATAAAACTAATTGATAATTTCTGTCAGCGTTCAGGGGATTACAGAACGCACTTAACAACTGTTTTAATGCTGTAGATATTAAATCCGTATTCAAAAGTGGGTGTATAATCCTTTCCGCTGTTTCTTTGTATTTGCATTTAATATGGTTTAATCTATTGGTATTTGCCACGAAAATTGAATTAACACGATTCAAAAATGCTAGAGATTATTCATTCATGAAATCAAGCATTAAAATTCCTTAACGTTCATTAGGAATTTTGTTGTATCAGCGATAATAATTGTAAATTCGTAAGAACTAGATTAGCAATATCGTTTCGTAAAATAATGCAAAATAATTACTTATAATTGTCTGCTGCCAAACAAAAGCATATTAACAATGCATTAGTTAAGCCCGTACCTACTCATATCGAAGAAGATTAAAATTCCGATGAGTGTTTAGCAAAAGAAAATTTCAAAGAGATAGGCAACGTACAGATAAACGAAGATATGTATCTTCGGCTTTTAAGAAAGAAAAGTGAAAAATTTTAATTTTAACACTGTCTCCAATAAGTAATATACGTACAGTCCATTTCAATTTGTTAGAATTGTGACCTTGAGGAAATCTGCGCGAAGATAGAAAGAATACACACTAGGCGTGAGCAAAACAGAAATAGTTGGAGTAAGCTTGAACGAGGAGAGCTCTCGGTGGGCGGTCTTAGAAGATCGGCTAGAACTGTACAGTACTAGACGAAAATGTTTAGCAATTTCTTAAAACAAAAATGTATATAAATTAACAATAGAAAACAAAGCACAAGTTTTATAGGTGTGTAGAGCGTTAAGTTAATTCACTTGTTATTATTTTTGGCTAAATATGCTCTTAAATAAAGCATATTCTTAAATTTTAACGAAGCAGTTTAAATAATTTTGCGAATGGTACTGTACACTTTTGTCTAGTTCTCGCTCGATGATCGGTGGAGAAATGAGCTCCGCAGACAAATATGATTGAATTTGGAATTATGCTACGGCGCATCCTAATAAAGGGAAGGGGCATATTTCTAACTTCCTGAAACGAACAGTATAAGGGTACTTAGAATTAGTATTGCAGTTTTTTCTGTCACATATTCTGTAGATGATTCTTATTTAGTATTATCGAACAGAACAACAACGAGAACAACGATAAAACTGTCCACCCATGTGAACAAGGCGCAGATCACATGTGTATGTCTACTTACACTTATAAATTTGGACCTGTCGAAAGCTGATTATTTTTTGATAAGACGCAAAAGGTTCGCCGGACATACGTTTATTTTCGCCAATCCCAAAGTAGTAATTCATGCATCGGTACGCATTTCTGCCGCAACTCATATTTAATCTCGTTATAAATCACGAAATTCGTTAAGTTACGGGTTGAAAGCTAATTATACCAACGAAATTGATTTCCATCGTCAGCATGCGTAAAAATGTGTCCGTATAAATTAATAGCATTGTTAACATACCGTCGGCCGCACAGATACCTACGCCTCTTTTGTTTTCGTCCGTTGCTAATAAACAAGAGTACTACATGCTTAATAATCCGTATTCTCCAAACTAATTTGTTACGAAACCTAAATAAAAACCCTTTAACAGAAAAATTAAACCGCCGAAAAAACCGAAAAGTAAAAAATAATAACCCTTTATTTTATTAACCCTAATAAATAAGTTCTTTAATTAATGCAAGTATACCTAAGTAATTTTGACTCGACGTTAAACGATCAATAGACAAAGATCTCTAAATTACCTTAAATTTAAAGAAATTACCATTGCATTGTTAATTTTATTTGGTAATTTCTTTAAATTTGAGGTAATTTAGAGATCTTTGTTTATTGATCGTTTAACGTCGAGTCAAAATTACTTAGGTATACTTACATTAAATGAAGAACTTATTTATTAAGGTTAATAAAATAAAGGGTTATTATTTTTTACTTTTCAGTCTACTATTACTATTATTTTCCTACTAAAAATCATCCCCTGTTTTCCTACCCCTAGGGTTGAAAATTTTTTCCAAATTTATATGGGACCAACTTCGGGGTATACCCTTTCCAATAAAAAAAGAATTATCAAAATCGGACCATTCTGTCAAAAGTTATGCGTGGTCATACATTACAATCAGTGAGTGAATAATAATTAACAATTGTCTCCTGTTTTTCTACTTTTAGGGTACTTCGTGGTACCTATACCCTTTTCAATAAAAAAAGAACTAACAAAATCGGACTTTTCTGGAAAAATTTGCCTGGTCATACATTAAAAAAAAAAAAATATACCCGTCGACTTGAGAACTTCCTCTTCTTTTTCGTCGGTTAAAAATAAATTCACACTATCACATTGGTATTGAAATACAAAGTAAGTAAATGCATACTCGCATTATTGTATTTAAATGCTCATCAGTCAGTAAATTACTAATGGTTCCATTAATATAGGACATACGTCTAACTCTATTCTCATTGGTTGCATTAACTGTATTTAATTACAGAATTTAGAGTTTTTTAATTTAGTTTCCTATTTAATTGCACGGCATTTCCGTTAACAAGATACCTAATATATATACAATTAGCTTGAGGCAGACGGCAGCATTATTCATTTGTTATTACGAGGGTTTTTTGTGCCAATAATTATTTCCACATTAATACACTTTATGAAATTGCAGTTGAATGGGTTAATTATTTTTTAATTTAGTTATAATCACCAATTTGCCACAGCAATTGGAGCAGGCAATTTAAATATTTCTACCTACCACTAGTGTGGTTTAAGTAAATATTATCATCATTTGAAATTTCACTTTTCATTATACCTTTGTACTAAGAAATATAAGACATGTAGTCGCAGACAAAACACAATTCGGTAAATTACAAATTTTGTGAAATCCTGTTAGTTTTAACCACTTGAAGGTATAATAATGTGATGGGCAGATCGATTTGGCTTATTACTAATTGACGAGATCTTTCCATTTTCAGTTTTTATACAAATAATTAATGAATTAATACAATAACAGTATACAAATAGAAAACATGAAATAAAAACTAAAAGATGGAAATTTTAATGTACTACTTACACAGTTATTTTCTATGTCGCTCCATTGATGTCTTTAGTGCTTCTTATAGATATAGATAGGAACAATATTTGGATGGATTTGATGATTGATGAAAACTGAAACAAAATAAAAGACGTTTACACGTGTTTTGAAACAAACATATTGTTAATTAGCATAGGTACTAGTTTATTCTAATATACTTAATAGTTAATAATTATTTTTTTGTCGTTTTTGTTAGAACTTTCTTGCGGCAGTGATTTAAAGAAAAAAGAAATAAATAACCATGAATTGATACATATCTAAAACAGTGCGCAGAATATTATTTGGCAACAGTGTGAAATAGGTACTTTTGGCATTATTTTTAGGAAAATAAATAAACTAATGTGAATATAAAAATAACGCTCGTGAAATTGTGAAGATGGACGCTATTTACTAAGCATTAAGAAGTGATACTTATGTAAAAAAGTATGTAGAATATTATGGTGTCAATGGCTTTGTAGTGCGGTGTGAAATAAGTACCTTTACTACAATAATATGTTGGAAAGCCAACCAACCAGCTTATTAAGTAGCAGAGATAAAGAATCAGCAAACTTAAAATCTTCAAGGAATAACAGTGTGCGAAGTCAATTTTTATAATAAAGAATAATAATAATTATTATTACTTATATACATGATAATGAAGAGCGCGAAGTTCAAAGTAAGGTATAACTGAATTGGGATACGAAACGTTAGGGGGGTACTTAGGCCGGGATGTTACGACTTGTGGAAACCGAGGTGCAAACACATGTAGGTCACTTGTATATATTTGTATGTATTGTTGACTTCATGGTTTTCTACCCCAGAAAATTTTGGTCGTCGACCAAGTACAAACCTCATTATATGTGCCAACTGGGACTAGTAATGACACTTGTGTACCACTCAATTGGCTGTTTTCTGAGCATTGGTTCTAAGTAGCAGTTAAGTGTATCTGTAGTAGATAAGAGGTGATAAAAGATGAATTTGTTTGTACACTGTACAATATGTGGATACACTGGGCTACCGATTACCATTAGAAATACGGGGCTATTATGTTCTGCAAGAAGAAGGTGTCAGATTTCTCCTTTAACACGGACGCTGAATAAACACAAAGACATTAACTCCAATCCAAATAAATACGCGGCTATCCGAGATAGTTAACTGTATGTACACAACGAATGTGTACCGTGGGTTGGAACACTAACATAAACACTTTGTAGGCAATTTAGCGGATCAAGTCATCCCGGTATTCTGTGTGTATACCAATTTATATACGTACTCGGATACTCGCATACACCCGCGGTATTTGCACTTTGTTTCACAAGAAATTCAACGAGAAAAGTGAAATGTCAGCAGCGTGTTCTAGTCCGGTGTAGTGGACAATAAAATACATACCTTCTTGAACGTAGTAGGTACCATTTTTGGAGCCCGAATACCATGTGAATTAGAGAAACTAGATAGATACTTATTTAAATGAGGACATCGGTAAACAATCGCTAAGTTTCTGTTTGTAAAATAAATAATAGAGTGAACATTTTGAGGAATTCAATTCAAATGTTTACAATAAAATAAAGCAATTGTGAATGTCGGGATGTAGCTACGGGTGAGCCCGAATAGGCCAATGTCTATGAATTGAAAGTTTTGGCCCATGGGTTGGCCCACCCTGAATATTAACCTATCATGCAAAGTTTATATATACTTTGTCTAATTGGAGATCTTTTGCGATATATGTACAATTGCTAAATCAATTACTTAGGAAAATTTGAGTGATGATTAGCATAAACAAAAGGTGTTCTTTGCTTTTCCTCTCTAAGATGCATAATATACTAATATGAGCACGATGTGTTGAGTTATGTGAGATTATACTCATTTTTATGGTATCCTAAGTATATTGAGGTATGCAGCACTGAAAATCTAATGCCCCCACCATGAACTCCTGAGGATATATGGATACATGCGAATTAAATTTTAATGCGAGTTATAGCTGGAGAGTGCATCTCAATACAGGTGGAAATAACAGATATGCATGTCAATAAAGGATAAAGTTTCAACGCGTTTTTCACTTGAATGAAGTAAAATTATAGAGAATAAATGTCATTGGCAGGTACTCAGTAGTGTTGCAACAGACCTCTACTTCCGCTTCCGCATACGTTTTCACATCCGCTTCTCCATTGTTAGGTTCCACCCTGCTTATATGTATTTTCAACGCTCTGTATGTGTATTAACTTTTAGCCTGTATTGCGTTTGTAATATCATTTATCTCATTAATTGTCTATGCAACATTCATATTAATTCAATGTATGACCAATAACGTTTTGCATAGCGAAACCATACTGTTATATGAAACAGTTCTCCTAAACCATTTATTTTAATCGATGCATTACCAATATTTTTATGAAGCAGAACCAAACTTTATTATAAAAGACATTTTCGAAAGAATGATCTCAACACTCAACTCGACCCATGTAAGCTCTTTTTGTACACCTGTTAACAAGAATTAAACTGTTAGTAGTTTTGCCACTTGGTTTTTTCTTTAAACAATTCCACTACAAATTGGAGTTGCAACACCATCTGGTTCTGCATTTTTATAACGGAAGCTTATGGGAACATAATAAAATCTTATTTCTCATCTTTTTGAAAATTAATATATCGACACAATAAAACAAGTCGTAAAAATTTATTATTTTTATCTGTTGGCTGAACTGGGCCGTTTTCAAAACACAATTTAAGTTTAGGGCCTAAATCTATTTCTTAATATTTCGAATGTTGATATTTTTGAAATTTTATTCTCTTATTAGTTTCGTACTTTAATTTGAAACGTCCAGGACTTTCAGCTTCTCCTAATAATTTGATTTTGAAAATACTAAGAGTGTTTGCTCAGTGGTGTAAATTTTAAGTTAAAAGTGCAATTTTCAAGCAAAAAGGAAGTACCATTTGGGATTATTTTGTTGATATTAATGATGCAAATGTTAGATTCAAATATTCCCGAAAAGGGCGCACGATCACTACATTAAAGAATCACTTAAAACCATTACACTTCCGCTTCCGCATCCGCATACGTTTCTACATAGCATGCAATCTTTTAAAATAATCAATATAGTTACAATAAAAAATTGTATTACTTAATAGTTATCTTTTTGATAGAATTTTTATGAAGACCTACTTGCAAACACCATCATAAAACTGTTATTAAAATAAATTAGATATTAAAGTCCGATAGGAGTAGTTTAAATAGAGCCATACTTGGTCGCTGTAGGATATGTAACCTATAATTTGGTTGATTGTTTTTCTTGATAAACAAGACAGACAGACAGACAGACGTATATTGTACATTGCTCTTGAGGTAGCAGTAATATTAGTACCGACCGACCGACCGACGAACGTATCGTAGTAGGTACTTAACGTACAAATGCCATTGTTTTAGTAGGTACTATAGCGAAACGTTTTGTTTGATTTTCACGGACTTTTAAACGCATCAACATTAAATGGCACTTTAAAGTCAACAGCTGAGTTAAGACAACAAACAATCCGTGTTTACAGAAGGCAAAGCGGAACATGTTTTGTTAAACAACAAAACTGCAACCACATTATTGACTGCGACGCCCGTCTGGTGGGCGTTTAGTAACAACACATACCTGTGCTTGGACTTTGTGTTTTTAAAGGATAGTTAACATAACATTTCTACCTTGTAGAGTAGACCGTGTCATGAGTAAATGCAAGTCGATTACGAAAAGAAAAAGAAATGCTAATTTTGTGTAAAGTGATAACAGACAACACTAAATTATGTACATGATAATGTAATTTTCTTCCCTGCGAAAATGTGTGTGCGAAACTAACAGTAAGCAACATGATTGCTAAAATTGAGTATTTTGTCTGAAACAATTAAGATCGATATGAACAATATACGTACTCTAAACCAGAGATACACCGATTTTTATTCAAAGTGTTTTATGCAGCAAGGATGAAATGAAATCAGGGTGTAGTATGGGGTGTCGCCACGGTTAAAATATGAATGCAATGCATCACATAAAACAAATTTCTCGTTCAACTACTTTATTAAAGAGACATATTAGAGGCAGAAAAAGGAGTTAGAAGGGGTAGAGGTAGCCATAGATTAGATTACTGTTCGCAAATAGGAAAATAGGATGTGGGTTGTTCTAGGTTTAGGGAAATGCGAAGTTTAGCTCAGGATAGGAAAGAGTGGAGGTACGTGTTCAACCAGTCTTAGGAATAACAACCTTATGATGATCCTATGACATAGTTAGTTACTTAATAGTGAATTAAGATGCAATATTAATTTGAAATCATTTTTTCGATTTTTTATTTACCCACTACAAACTACCTCGAGTTAATGAGGGAAAAATTGTTGCTGTTTTCGCATCCCCGCCGGGAATCGAACCCGGGACCTTTGGCTTTACGCACCAATGTTCTGACCACTAAACTACGAGAGGTCGTGGCTGCTATTGTCAGAACATTGGTGTGTAAAGCCAAAGGGTTCGATTCCCGGCGGGGGTGTGACAACAGCAACAATTTTTCCCTCATTAATTTGAGGTAGTTTGTAGTGGGTAAATAAAAAATCGAAAAAATGATTTCAAATTAATATTGCTTATGATGATGATGTTATTTCATTCATCATAAAAAATTGTGACACTACCATTCTTATTATTTCTTAGTTTATCTGCACAGCTATTTTAAACATCCTTTTCAGGTGTGCTATTTACTTCAGTATTAGTTTTTTTTTTTTATTAATTACGATTTTAGTTATTTAAGCGTGGGCTACGACAAAGCATGTAATAAAATATCAATTATAGAAGATGCTATGTAGCAAAAAAGTTCAAAACAATTATCCACGCCCAATTTCAGCTAACGGTAGCTCGATTGCAATTACTCACGTACTGTCAACAATTACCGCTACTTTTTCTAATAGGTACGACGAATAAACTCGTTTTTTAATAATAATTATCGGTCAAGAAATTTTTCATTAATGCATAGTTAGAATAGCTAGAAAAAAGCCTAGACAGAAGAAGTCAAATGCGACTGCTATTATTATTACGCAGTGGAAGTGGCCGTAAGCTATGAAACCACATTGAAGAGGTGTAAC